CGGCCCAGTGCAGGCCTGGTACACGGCTGCGCGGGGCAGGCGGGGGGCTGGGTCAGTTCAAGGCTGCACAGGCCCTGGCTAACACCTGGGCTGCACACCCAGCCCCACCATGCCTTTCAGTGCTCGGTGCCTCAGTTTCCCCATCTCTAAGACCAGCTTGAGACTCTGCCTGATAGTGGTGCTGAGAAGATTCACTGACCATGAGGCAGGGGCCTATTGGAGTTCCTCTGGGCGAAAAGACCCATGAATGGGGCAGTGTCTCTCTCGGAGCCTTTTAGTACAGGGCTGGGCAATCAGCAAGGGTTTAATAATAAGTGTTCCTTTTAAAAAAATAAATGTTACTATTATTCCCTATGTGCATATATGACATTTTCATTTGTGTGTTGCCTTCCTCGCCAGAACGTCAGCCCCACAAGGACAGGCATTTATGCTTGTGGTCACTGCTGTGTCCCTGGCACCCAATAGGGTCTCAGTGGCTGTCAAAGATCAGGGTATGTGGATAGACTGCACGCAAGACCCAGCCCCCAGGGACCACATCACACAGGCTGCTCATAAAAAACATTTTAAATTAAAAAAGGTAAGAAGTATCAGTGCACAGACAGGAACAGAGGGCCCAGCACCACATGCAATGTGGTCACCCCAAGTGGGCAGTGGGACAGACTCCCAGAAAGGCACATAGCTGAGGCTAGGGTGCTGGTTCCTCTGGGTGTGGTTTCAGGCCCTATGAGCTCAGAGGTCCGCCTTTCGGAAACTTGCTCTGTTCAAGGAGTTCCTGGGGGAGGAATGTGGTGGGTCAACATGGACACAGGGCCCCCAATGCCATAATGCTCCCAGCCCTCTCCCTCCTCCTCCTCCAGAGCTTCTTCTAGAGTCTTCCCTGTTCCTTTCACATCCATTCTGATCTGGCTATGGATTCACAGATTCTCTCCTGGAACCTACCACCAGAGAGCTGTATCATGCCCATTTTATAGATGTAGAAACCGAGCCTCAGGAAGATGAAGTTGCATGTCTGGGAACTGACCCACCAGGATTCGAGATGGCTGCCCAGAGCGTACATTTATGCACACGTCCAAGTAGTCACATCCTTTTGTGTAAAGCCAAGTGCATGTGTTGATATGCACGACAATCCCTATCCTGTGCCTGCCTCCTCTTGCCCTCTCTAGGATGGGGGGCCCGGGTCAGGCACCTGAGGCTGGCTGTGGTTGGTGCCAGCAGTTGGGGCAGGCGCTGTGTGAGAAGGGGCTGCAGAGCCTCCCGTAGGCGGGCATAGTTGCGCTCCAGCTCACGGTGGTACTCCTTCTGGTCCGGCCCAATCAGGGCCTTGTTCTTCCGCAGCGCATCCTCGCACCTGAGGGCCAGATGGCAGGGCACTCAGGAGAGAAAGCAAGACCAGAGATGGAGGAGTTCATGAGGTGGGGCAGGAGCTAGAATGGGGGGTAAAGTAGGCAGAGAGCCATGATGAAGATTGGAGGGTCTCTAATGGGTGAGGTCAGGCCTACTTCTTGCAGAAGTCCTTGAAACAGAGCCGTAGCTTGTTGTGATGCCTGAAGAGCTTGGGGTCTTCCGGGATCTCTGCCAAAAACACCTGGGCTACCTCCAAGGGACCCTGTGGGGTGAGAGGGCCTTGTGAGGGTGTCTGCATGGACCCTGGGGAGCTTCGGGCAGCCTGCATCCCCTACCGGCCATGCCTGGTTCACAGTGGGCCCCACAGAGCCCTGTAGCACCATCTGCAGCATCTTGGCATCAGGTGGGTCCTGTTCGGTGGCAAAGGCCAGCTCCCGTGTCTTTTTCTGCATGTCCTCGATGGCCACCTCCACTGGTGTCAACACTGTCTGCAGAGTCAGGGTACAGCATGCACTGGCTGGGGCCTGAAGATATCCTGACCCAGGCCAGTCCAGGGCAGCTGGGGAGGGAGGGGTTTAAGTGGCTGTGTAATGAACAGTGTGTGGGGGCTCCTGCCTGCCTGAGTCTGCCAGGGCCTGGCTCAGCTGCCTTTGGTCTGGTTGTTGTCCAGCCTTGGATCAGCTGGAGGTAGAGATTTGAGGCTAGAGACTGGGGTCTGGAGGTTGGAGTTTGGAGTCCCCTCACCTCCCCCAACCCAGGTTTGGGGCCCCCACCTACCTCCTCCCGGTGGCACACACGGATGCGTGTCTTGATGTAGGGGAAGGCATGGTCTGTGCTCAGCAGAGTCTTGCGCTTGTGTTGCTCATGCAGCTCCCCGTGAGCACGCCCATCGGGTGTGAAGGGCGTGCAGAACAGGAAGGTGCGCAGCCCGTAGTTGCGGTCAAAGTAGGTCACACGGTCCTTGAGCTCATAGGTGTCAAAGTGTGGTTCCACATATGTGATCTGGATGTAGGCCTGGGCACAGGGCTCAGGTGTGAGATTCCCACAGTCCCAACATACCCCGTGGGGCTTGCCCGCCTCCCAGCAGGACTCTGTCCCTGGAGAAAGGGATTTGGGCCTTCATGGGTCTGGGAATTGTGCACCTGGTATTGCCAGGTCTCCTTATGTATGGGAATTACCTGAGGTTAAGGCTTTGGGGGTCCCCGAGGGAGATAAGCTTTGGAGATTCCCAGAGAAAAAGGATTTAAGGGTTTCCAGGAAATAGTACTTAGAGACACCCTGACTACAGGATTTTGGGGACCCTAAGGGGATGGTCGGGAGCCCTCACCTTCTGGGAGTCAAGTTTGGTCTTGTCAACAGGGTTCGAATCTTTGACAATCTCGACCACGTCCTCCCCAAACCGCTCTGTGTAGAACTCCTGGGGACACAGGGCTGACTCAGGCTTTGCAGGTGCAGCCCCCACTCCACCCCAGGGCAGCCTTGTGCCCCATTCACCCCCCACCACCGGGACGTGCCTCCAGCCGGTGTGAG